CCCCTTTGGGAATAGCCTAAAGACACTACAGTCAGTGGCACTGCCCCGGGGGGTTACCCATAATAAGAGTGTTGAACACAATATATAAATTATATTCAAGAGCAAAAGTCCACATGGCACTGATAGAGAAGGTTAGATAATTATAACTTGTAAAAATAAATGACTTGTGCAGAACAAAAGGTTTTTAATCGTTCTTGATCATACAAGGCTTGACAATAGGAGAAGAGTATCATCTTTGTTTTTCAGTCTGAAGGAATGAACAACAGTCCAGGAGTAATCATCATTTTACAGCCTGAAGGAAGCAAAAACAGTGCTGAATACATAAAAAATTACATTCAAGAGCAAAAGCCCACATGTCATTGAAATTTGATGTATCACGTATAAAAATAAATGTTTTGTGCAGAAAAATAGGTAAAGAGTGCTTGATCACAAAAGACATCATAATGAAAGAAGATCAGAGTAAGTTTAACTTCAACAGCACTTATAACACAAAGGTTTGAAACCTATATGTATATGAAGATTTAGAAGTATTGCTTGTTGACAGTAACCATACAAAGCAAAGGAAGCGAGATAAGGACGATAGGTGTTTATAGGAAAGCAGGAGCAAACCACACCAAAGCACCTACAAACCACACTTGATTTTAATTATTAAAATACTAAAATAAACCAAAAGGCATACTAGAACTAGAATGACTGATCGTACATATATGTTATTCATCCAAACTGACACAAATTCGATCATTTAGTAGACTGAGCCAAACTGAACTGACATGGATATGATAATAATCCAACATACAGAGAGACTCCATTTTTAAAACAAATAAAATTAAAAGGTGCCCCGCGTGGGAACCAACCTCACTACATACTTCTGTGTGCAAAGAAGAAGAGCCCATCTCTGACACCGCAAAGGTCCTTGGGCAACTATGGTGCAAGGCTTCCACAGTAGTAACAGATAATACTTTATAATGATAACACTGTATGTAATTCAACTTTCCTCTGAGAAAGTTGTATTTGAAAATAGCAAAAGTTGCAAGAAAAATTTGCAAAAATTGCAAGAAAAGTTGCAAGACGTGTACAGTACAGCTAACAAATTTTCATGGGATTATTGGAAAACATAGTCGGTATGCTCATTGCAATCAAAGTAACCAACATGAGTTTTGTCAGATCAAAATCAAAAGTATGTGAACGTTTAATAAAAAAAAAAAAACGACAACAAACACATAAAAAAACAGCATGGAGGTTGCAGGGTATACAAAAACAGTTTGTGTCAGGTCCTTAACTCATTCGCTGCGCCGAGCCGTGGGCGGCGGCGCGGCTAAAGTGCCGTCAGTACGCTAAGCCGCCCCCGACAGCTCGAGAACCGATCTTCAATTTTAGCTTAGATTCTATTCCAATCCACACGTTAAAATAAAGGTCATAATATAATGTTGCAGGGTTATGCAAAAAAACGCGGCCGCACAATCGCATAATCCGACGGGGAGAGATTGGGGGATCGGGTCAGGTCGGGTCGTTTGCTCGCCAGATTGATAGCGCAAAGCGGCTATTGTGGTACAAGGCGATCGCACCTGGCTCATTGCCTAAAAAACAAACGCCTTTGTTATCAGGTGACAAGTCGGGCGATCATCTCGACCCGACCTGATCCCATCCGCAAAGGCCACTGGCACCCCGTACAAAAGAAGTGGTAGGATCTAGCCTATTTCCCATACGAATTGTTCCCCTTCGAATTGTCCACCTTGGCATCGTTATTTTTAGTCGTGGAAGAAAGTTTTGGTAATGTTTAACAGAATTTTATTATTATTTTTCCAACTTTTGCAGAAAATTGGATACTAAAATTCGCAAACTCATGAAAATGGCAAAAGTTGCACTTGCGGGTTGCGGGCGCGAATTTCTCTGAGGACAAAATATAATCCATTACATGTAATTTATTTCAATTTTAAACAATCAGAACATTTGAAAGACACATCAAAAATCATATCAAATGCAGTCATTTGAAAAAAACCCACTTTATGCAAATGGTGTTACGTGTTTAGTTTTGGTAACTGACGGGACAAATGAGGTATTGTTTCTGTCCTGTCAGTTATCAAAACTACACACAGGTCACATAATTTTCAAAAAGTACTCTTTTTTCAAATAACTGAATTTATTGAGATAAGATAAGGTAAGATAAGACAGTACTTTATTACCCATGAGGGAAATTTTTCTTGGCTGTACATGTACAGGACCGTAAAAACATATGCAGAGGTATACATAAAAATTTTAAGTATATATTACTCTCATTAAAATTCAATGAAAAGTGAAGTAAAGCTGACAAATGTACATATCACATGAGATGCATCATTCAACCACAAGCAGGAATTTAATTACAAGACCTTTAGACTTATAGATAGGCCTATAGATACATACTCCAAAAAGCAATACACATTGATGTTCATTCTGACAGAAGCTTTATACTAAACAGTACGGTAGATCCAAAAAAACTTTTATTGTATCAGACTTTTTTAGTTCTTAGAGGTACATTATATCTGCCATGGCGTGATCTTACAATTTATGTGAAAAGGGGGTGTGGTTATTATGGGACAGCCTGTTCGCCACTTCACTATCACACACACACACAAGATGTAACTTTGGTGTGTTTGTGTGGGGGGGGATTAACAAAGTCTGTCTACTTGGAAGTAGTATCCCTCTCAACAAAGTTCCGAGAGGCAGGGTAGATGCAGGCCTCCCAAATAAGCTAAATTGCTTAAAGTGTATTGTCTTTTTTTTATTTTTTATTCGTTTTATGGTACTTGCAACACATTTGGAATGAATGCTGAAGATTAGAGGTGTTACAAGAGAGTAATGAACATAAAAAAGGAGTAGGAGAGAAAAGGAGGATAGATGTTGATAGGAAGGGAGGAGCAAATCACATCAGAGCACCGGGCTAACCACTCACGTGGGGTGTAAAATTCTACTTCTAAAAAACAATTACATTAAACTACAGACATCCGAGGTTTTCTAGAATACATTGAATCCCGATGCTCGGGAGAAAAGAAAATGCGGCATCTTTGGGTGACTTATGTAAAATTTCTGTTTTCTTAAAACAGCGGGATTTTAAGCGAAATGGGATCGTAAGCGATGGGATCTTAGGCGGAGACTACTGTAAATATAAATGAAGCAAGCTTTGTAAAAGAAATCGCATACCATACATTACTACATTACTAACTTAGCATCCCCATAAAAGATAAAACATTCCAAGAGCAATAAAAGCAATGAAAACACCAGCCAAAAAATCTCTGGTTTCAACAAATGCTAAACAGTGATAATGAAAATGAGTTGCTCACAAGGCGTACAAGCATAGTGTAAAAGTATGTAGCCTACACCTCGGTTGCACATCATTTCTACATATGAAAGACCTCAAATCCAGTGTTGCAGTCACTCTGCTCTGACCACCCAATCCACCAGCCTTTACTACTTCTGACACTTTTCATTCCTTTAACCATTAGCAAACTGAAAAGATCTGTAGCCTACAATGTTTATTCGCCCTCTCCTCTGTAGGCAAAATCTTTGCTGGAATATGAGGTCAAATCATACTCGTCATCAGTTTTAATTTTAGATTAAAAGTAAGAGTGTTACAGCATTTGCAATACAATAAGCTCATACAAAGGAAGAAGACTGGAGGTATTATAAGAGAGTAACAGACACAAAAAAGGAGGAGATATCAAGACAATGGACGTTTGATAGGAAAGAAGGAGAAACACAAACAAGATCATGAAAGTATTTTGCTCCCATGATGATGATGATTTATTTTTTCCTAGTATGTTCCTGATGAAGCCCAAGTGGGCAAAATGTCGATATCTTAAAAATAATAAAACAAAATTCTTTAGAATCATTAAAGATGTGTTCTTTTTTTACTGTACAAGAATGATAATGACTGAAATGGTGATGATGATGATGATGATCAAGATGAGGAAAAAAATTGTCAAACCATAATTAAAGTCTACATATATTTCATACTCTTCTACAACGATGATGATGAAGAAGATGATGACATTTATACAATTAACTCTTTGCGGGCGTATCACCGATATATCGATGTGAGTCCACACCCCTTGCGGATGTATCGCCGGTATATCGGCTGTGATAGGGTGCCTCAGTATTGTTTCGTTTTAACATGATCCGTCATTTATAATTACTTTTTATTGTTATTGAAAACTTGGAAAGGTTTTAGGAAACAAAAACATTTAGTTTCACTTTGTCAAAGCATGGGTTGGGGAAAAATGAGTGAATCAGTTCTTGCGGTCTTGCATCAACAAAACGATGTAACCGGATTCAATATAAATATCATAACTCTAACAAAAATTGGAATACTGCTGGATTTTGCTCTTGGCCTGTATATGATAAGATAGCTATGCTGATTTGCTTTCACATGGTTTGGGGAATGTAATTTTTTCCATCAAAATTTATTTTTCTCATCACCATCGCCATTTCTAACCCTTGTAATGCATACTAATGTTCAAAATTGATCCTTGTTTCATGTTGGAATGTATTCCTCATTCAATTTCCATCAATTTGATATATCATGTTATGTTTTGAGCGCATGTTTTGCTTATATAAATTTATTTTGTACACCACCTGTGTAGCCAAATTGAGCCACAAGCTAATTACGTCAAGACCCCAAAAAAAACTGCGCCCGGAAAGAGTTAAGATGATGATTGGGGGTCTAGAATGTTAGCATAATCTGTCATCGTGCACTGTCACCAGAAAGTTATGCTCTATTACAATGACAATGATGAAGAAATTTATGATGATAATGATGATGATAAAGATGATGACATTAATATATTAATAAGACGATGAAGAGGGAGACTGCTCCAGAATTTTTGCATAATCAATCATTGTGCACTGCTACCAGAAAGTTATAGTTATACTCTTCTACAACGATAATGATGATGATGATGATCGCGATGAAGATGGTGGCATCGATAAAATTAAGACGATTATGAAGCAGACTGCTCTAAAATGTTTTCACAAGCAACTGCTGTTTATTTGTTTAAGTAATAGTTTTGCAGAATTAGCAATACATTAGGTCATATAAGAAAAAAGTGCCAAATATTAGAGGTGATACAAGAGAGTCACAAACACAAAAAAGAAGGAGACATAATGATGATATATGTTCGATGGAAAAGAAAGAGCAAAGCACCTGCCAACCACCCACTCTATTACTATGCACTGGCACCAGAAAGTTCCACTGCAGGTTTTTCAACTTCTGGAAGCGGCCAAGTGTTGCCAGTCAAGGAGCAGAAAAGAGTCATCAGGGTATTTGTTACCGAGGAGCTGAACCCACAATCCTGTCCCAGATGACTGTCTGCCTCATCATCTTTTGCCTTTATGGTTTCTTTTGTCACCAGGTTGGATAAAATCTCACTGATGCAAAGACGAGGGTGACTGCCCAAGAGCGGCGGAATGTTTACTTCCTTCTCTGTCGTTGCCACAACCACGTGTGGTTGGGTAAGGCCCTTTTCAGCACAGTGTATGTGGATTTGCGGAACCAACGTGAGAAGGTACTCAAACTCACTGTAGTTAGAGAGAGAAAGAGAGACACATAAATGGTTTGAATGAATAATTTCTTACTGATATTGACATATTTTTATTTTACATGTCATTTAGGAGGCCGGCTGCTTCTCCTGTGCTGGTGAGTGTCGAGCTTGGCTGACTGGGATACAAAACCCCAAAAGGAAGATGGAAGAAATCTTAAAAACCAACTTCCCTGTCTGATGTCTCCTACAATGCAATGGCCAAGAGCCTAACCATATTGCCAAAGACAGAAGGAGGGAGGGAGAGAGAGAGAAAGAGAGAGAAAGTCATATGTGGTTGTTGTTGAGTAGTGGTATAGGGCCGGTCAACACAATACGGACCATATTTTGCTAGAGTCAGACCTAGACAAGAGAATCACAGAGAGGAAGGAGTAGCAACAGACCCCACCAAATACCGACCAACCACTCAAAATGGAAAAAACAATCAGAACTAAAAATCACATACCGTTACACAGAGAATAGAGAGAACAGAGTACACCGAGTCTACAAAATTGCACAAGAAAACAAAACAGAATATGACAGCATGCGCAATAAAAAAACATATCATGCTTGTATTTCAATTTTATACAGGGTCAGAAGAGCGTTCCCAGGGACTGTGAAGACATTTTCCCCCTAAAATACAAGTGAAAAAAAAAAGAAGATTTTTCAGCAACCGAGTGATCTGCGAGCTTAGGCTCACATCAAGCATTTATAAGTCAATGACACACCGTCTAGACAGGTGGACACTTAGGTGTGTCCTTGAGCAAGACATGATAACCCTAGCTCAAATACAAGGCGTTGCAGAGTGGCAAATGACTATGGTGCGTATGTAGAGTTGAGTGTACTGGCGAAAACAAAATGTGATCTAAGGTTTTTTACGCCTCCATTGACACAACTTAGATCACTTAGGAGGGGGGCTGCTTTGACCTTGTCTGTCATGGCCAACCCAGGCTGAGATGGATACAACATAACATTGGCAGAAAGACGAGAGATGCTCATTAAACTCTCTCCCTATATATGAGAATTGAGTTCACGTTTCAGCGTGTGACAGCAAAGCTTTTACCCACTACACCACAGACACTGGTTCTGCATTCAATAAGACAGAGAAAACTTTCCTGGAAAACAAAGAAAGAAACATCACGGGACTTTATTTCATTATTTTACCTGTCCAGAGGTTCCTGCCCCAGCAGTAGAACAACAACTCTGGGTTTTACCATCTCTTGAAACATGACTTCCAGTTCAGTCTTGTTATACTCATTGCAGCTCTGAGAAAACAAATAAGAAGCAAAAAGGAAGATCATCTTTTTTAAAATAAACTGATCCTGTTAAGGCATTTTTTTAGAAGAATGTTAGGTACCTACAGTGGCTGGGTGATTAATAAGCTCTGGTTCACAATAATGTCGAGCATACATCAGTAACACAGTCACAAGGCAGTTGGTTACTTGGGATATGTCTTTGAGTGAGACATGATAAACAACACAAAAACAGGGAATGTTCAGACGCCTCTGGTAATGATGTGTTACTAAGAGTAGTAAGACTGTCTGTATCTATGTGTTAGGAGCTGTTGTGTCCCTGCCGGTCAATATCAGTCACATGAAGGAAATTTCAAAACTGAGTTAACATTATTTTCAAAAACTATCAACTTTTCCCTACAATTTAAAACAAGAATGAAGTAAATATGACAATATTGGACAAAAATACAGAACTTTTAATTGCACGAGGTGAGGAAACCAAAGTTGAGCAACATGTTTCCATAGCAATGGGGGTCTTAGAATTGAGATAAAGACTTGAAATTTAGCACTTATCTCGGCTATGCCACTACAAGGAAAATACAGAAGTAGAAAAGTATTAATTCAAAGAAAAAGATTTTATGGACGAAACAAAATTTTCACGAGAATGGACTTCACGTCAAATGCAACAAAATATTTGCATCATACTAGGTAGGTACCAGATACTAAATTTTCAAAGTAGCTGCATGCCAAATTCATCTGTTTCATATGAAAGGCCTATATCTGATGAGAATTTTGGTACCATACTTTTACCTCTCAGTCAATGTTTAAGAGAATGGCAGCTGTTTCAATTTAGCATAATATTGCAGAAGTCGTTAACTGGCTGCAACCCCATGTTTGACAGATAATAAAAGAGTACCAAGTGCACCAAACATCTCTACATTAACAGAGTACAATCATTATAACAAAAAAATGAAGCCTAGTTTTTTTTCAAGACTGTGAGATCATTACAAATCAGTATTGTATTGCCTCAAACACGATGATCTGTCGTTATTTCAATAAAAACACTGAGCGTTGTCTCGGCCGGCGCCGCATCGGCCCCTGCAGCGAGCGAGTCAACTCAATACTGTAGTATACTGAGTGTTCCTCGGAGTTTCGCGGAAGGATTCATGCAAAATAATTCCAAGCCGATGACTTTATTCTAGGCCTAATAGAAAAAGAACTGTTCTTTCTAGCTGGTATTTCAAACATCGTGTTAAAAATGATCTCTGAAAACTTGAACGCTTTTTTTTTCCAAGGTTTTCTATCCAAACGCCAAAAAATAACAATCACGGGAAACCATGCTCAAAGCTGTAGCCTATAGTTCTCCGCCAAAGAAAAGACTGTATTTAATCATCAATCTTTCTGCAAAGCATTCGAAGGGGGCTCTCGTGGCCTAGAGGTTAAGGTGTTGGCCTCTCATTCAAAGGTCCCGGGTTTGAATCCGGATAGCGACCGAAAATTTTTCTTCTCTAAAATGGTCTCCTTTCACCTCCTTTCCTGCTCTCTAGCAATGTTCTGTTGTGTGCTTTCATTTCCACTTTCTGCCCCCACACCCCACCCCCTCACCTCCTTTGCCCCCTCCTCT